GTTTAAAACACGTTTTGCACCGTTTTTGTCGGGGCTGAACGCAGCCCTGTTTTTAGTTGCATCAATAAAGGTGTCATAAAAGAAAAGCCCTCGGGATTTCATTTTTTTGTCCTATATCATCTCGCTTGTTTGCAGCACCTTTATTCTAAGCTCAAGTGCACATCATAACAATATCAAGGTATTATCATGGTGGATTTATCATTATATGTCAAATGCTGTATGATTTTAAATATGTTAATGAATCTGCATTTTAACAATTGAAGACTTAACTGCAGTATATCTGTTTTGTAAAGTTGTCGACCATCAAATATATATATATATATAGGCCTATTTATATGTGTGTGTGTGTGTGCGTGTTCTCTATTATTGATCAGTGATCACATATCAGAATTCCATAGTTAATTAAATATTTTAAAATCTGTATTCAATCAATTTAATTTCTTATTAAAATACAATTGTTTAAAACACGTTTACCACTTCGTACGTTTTATGCCTGTTTTTGTAATGTTCATGAGAATCAAAAAGTGTTACAAAATAAAAGCCCGCATTTTGTCCAGGGCCAATCCATTTCAAGCAATTGAATTCACTTTAGGGGCTTGGATCAAATAACATTTAAATCTCATATAGTGTAAGTTGTCCTCTTCTTTAATTAAAGCTCCCATCAATAGGTAAGCACAAATGCTAACGTGAGTGGTTTGTGTGTGTGTTGAAGGGAGCGGCGCGTGAGCGCGGAGGAGGGCGTGGCGTGACGCGACGCGACGCGTCTGACGCGTCTGACGCGGCGAGCTGGATCAGCCGAAGTGAAGTCTCCTCTAACACTTCAGTAGATCAGTGTCGCTCTTGGCGCTTTCAAAATAACATTGTTTGCCAGAAATGGAGGTAAATACATACAACATTCAAGTGCTTCTGCAGGCAGCTGAGTATTTGGAGCGGAGGGAAAGAGGTATTAGACGCGTTATTTCTTTCACGTTGTTTGCATTGAAACCGAAGCCGTTTTGGACAGTCTGCTGTTTGCTTGTGTTTTGCACACATTCGTTAATGTTTGTATTAATTTTTCCTCATGTGGGCACTGGGTGTGTCTTCTCTTTTGCAGAGGTTAGTTCGTGTATCTGTAGAGTAATAAACATCGCTTTTATTGTTGATGTTGTCGTGTTTGGCTCGCTGACCTACATTTCAGTTCTGTATTGTGCACAAAGGCGCGAAATCGTCATAGATTTGAAAATGTAGCAGCGCTGGCCGTTACTCTGCTACAGTTACAGCGGCTCAGACGTCGCGTAAATTACTGGATACATAGTTACAGCGGAAAGCTTTGATTTCAAAAGCGCCAAAGCGTTCGATGGCGCCAAAACCAGAAAGCGGTCTCGCTACAGCTGCTTTGATGAGACGCTGACATATAGCAGATGTTTCCTGTATCTGGTATAGCAGAACGTTAATATTTGTCTTTTTAGATTTATAATCAGGCAACGGTCATATGCCCGATGTTTCTGTAGATGTCAGAAATAACTTATTTTTAGCTTGTGTATATAAAGGTCGTATATAAAAGGAAGTAGGCTGGGCTATTAATCACTCATGTTATGTTTTATACATTTTCAGAGGCCGAGCACGGTTATGCCTCAGTGCTTCCATTCTACAGTAAAGGAGTTACAGATAAGAGAAAAAAGCAGAAATCAAAGAGTCATTCGCCTGGGAGCAGCAGGTGAGTGTAAGGTGTTGCTTTGTTATTGTACGCTCTGTGCATCTTCTAAAACAGTGGTTCCCAACACTGGTCCTTGAGGCACCCCAACACTGCACGTTTTGTATGTCTCCTTAATCAAACACACCTGATTCAGGTCATCAGCTCATTAGTGGAGAGAACAAGACAGGGGTGCCCAAACTCGGTCCTGCAGAGTTTAACTCCAACTTGCTTCAATACACCTGCATTCAAGTTTCTAGTTTGTCTAGTAAGAGCTTGATTAGCTGGTTTAAGTGTGTTTAATTGGGGTTGGAGTTAAATTCTTCAGGACACCGGCCCTCCAGGACCGAGTTTGGGCACCCCTGCTCCAAGACCTGTTATTGGTGCGTCAGAGAAAGGAGACAAGCAACATGTGCAGTGTTGGGGTGCCTCCAGGACCAGGGTTGGGAACACTGTTCTAAAACACTGATTAGCGACTAGCGAGATTCTTGTTATTCAAAAAATATTTAATTTTATTCTACAACGATCTTCTTGCTTTTGATTTTTTTTAATGCAAATGAATGAAAGAAAGGCATTTGCTTCCATTTAGACAACTTGAAGTGTTAGTTCATCCAAAAATGATTATCATTATTTACTCACTATAGTAAACGCTCCGTTTTTCAGTTAAAGTCAGTTCGTTCTCGATTCAGTTCTATTTAAGAACTCTGTAACGTTCATCAGTTATGGAATGAGTTCATTTTTTTTCAATGAAGCAGCTCTGGAGAAAACAGTGATGTCATCATCCAGCTCAGTTCAGGGGTCAGTTGCATAGATTGTCTTAAGAGCTAGTTTGACCAACTAGCAGTTGTCTTACTTTTCCAATACAAATAAGACCAATCTACCTTTTCATAACTGAAGGGAAGTTGTGGCCTAATGGTTAGAGAGTTGGACTCGTAACCCAAAGGTTGCAGGCTCGAGTCTAGTACGGGATTGTGGGTGGGGGGAGTTAATGTACAGCACTCTCTCCCACCTTCAATACCATGACTGAGGTGCCCTTGAGCAAGGCCCCCAAAAAATGGCTGCCCACTGCTCCGGGTGTGTGTGTGTTCACAGCTGTGTGTGTGCACTTTGGATGGGATAAATGCAGAGCACTAATTCCTAGTATGGGTCACAATACTTGGCCACATGTCACGTCACTTTTAAGACTAGTCTAAACAGTTTATGCAACTGGCCCCAGTTCTCATCAGTAGTGTCTGTGCAATCAAGTCAGATATTAAGTGTCCCCAAATATTAAGTGCTGAATTGATTATATTAAGTACTTTTAACTGTAGGTCAATCTAACTAGATGGTAATGTCTACAAAATGCTTATCCACACACATCTTATACAAAAAAAAAAATGAGTGAGAATTTAATACGAACGAATGTTATGGCTAAATAAAGCTTTGTTCTTTGTTTCAGGTCTGTTCACAATGAGTTGGAGAAACACAGGTAACTAAGTTTTATTTTTGCGTTCTGTCCTTCAGTTCAGCAATTGTGCTATTGTTCTACATATTAGTACAGTTTTTCAGTAATTCAGTCCCATCAGTGTGGGAGTGAGATATTGCTTTCTGCAACAGTTCGATAAAGAGTTGCTGTTGAGTAACTTTAATTTTTAGACAGATTTTGCCAATTTAAAGCTTCAAGCTTTAAAATGCTATGCTCACGTACTCTGGTCTGTAATGCATGAACATTGACAACATAGGGAAAAGTCCGAGTGCTATTGGAACTCTGTTTAGCCAATCAAATTCGAGTACTAGAACTAATGGTTGTATAATTAATTATATTACAAATTTAAGCCGGAGTGAAATGAAGTGTGTCTTTGTGGTTTTGCATGTAGTTAAATGTTATGTTGCTGCGTGTGTTTGTGATTGTGATTGTAGGAGAGCTCAGTTAAAACATTGTTTGGAGCAGCTGAAGCGGCAGGTTCCTCTGTCCTCGGATTCAGCTAGAAACACAACCCTCAATCTGCTCAGACAAGCACAGCTGCACATCAAGGTGAGCCTGATTGACCATATTACCAAAATGTTAAGAGTGATGATTATACAGAAGTAAAAATAAATAAATAAATAGAAATCGGATTATTTGTTGTTTATTAGTCTACAGAATAAAGACAACTATTTCAGCTGAGTAATTATGGAAAGGTCTGGAAATTATTAAAAAAAAAATGGCATGCTATCAGAATTTTGTTGCAGTCTAGAATTATTTGTTGTTTATTAGTCTACAGAATAAAGACAACTATTTCAGCTGAGTAATTATGGAAAGGTCTGGAAATTATAAAAAAAAAAATGGCATGCTATCAGAATTTTGTTGCAGTCTAGAATAGGTTGCGAAACACCTGCTGACAGGGCTAGTGTTTTAGAGTTGGTTATCTGGCAGCACATATCATCAACACGCTTAGTGTTTGTTACCTAAAAAATGTTTAAATGCATTTATTGTGTAATATGTGTATTTTGCCTTTTGAATTTCTATGCTTTTAGGCAAAAAAGGAGACCGCAAATTAATTTCCACAGAGTTTTAAGTAAGTAAATGATAATTATTAGTGAAATAAATGGTAAATATTGTTAATATAATTTAGGGACTTTTGGTGGATCTGATTAAAAAGTATATACAGTGGCCATTCTGGTGGAACATCCCTGAGCAATAACCCATTGAACGGCAGCTTTATGACAATAATGATGAGCATAGGCATTAGACATAGAGTTCAATCAAACTGTTTTATTCCCAACATGCATTCAAGGCCCTTTTCCATTGTTAATGAAAAGTAAAGTTACATCATTTGATGTTTGATTTCCGCTGTGTTACTCGGTGAGTTTGGCAAAAGAAGCATTATTGGCGGATCTGAAAATTTGTGCTGTACCTCCTATGGATTTAAAACCAATAATTTGTTCCCATGTTAATAACAAATGGCAAATAGAATGGGATCTAGGGCTGTCAAAAAAAATTAGAATTCCGAATATTCGTCTAATTTAAAATAAAAATCCACATTCGAAAGCAAAAACGTTGCATTAGAATTTTAGGTGTGCGTTAAGGAGGCGGCCTTATCAGTGGCGCATAAGATGCGATGACGATGTAAGTGTCGTTGCATTGTAATGTTTTTGTTAGTCTATCCAGTTGAAGCCACTGCTGCGTTGTTCATTAAAAATATTGCAGAAAAAACGAACATCAATGCGGAGAAGATCTTGTTTACATCAAAACTGAAACCATATAAAAAAGTGAAAGCATATTTCGCGCCTTTTCTAGAGGGACATCTATCACCATTGCACTCGCGTCTCGCACAAAAGAGCCACATGTTTAGAAAGCCATGTAAAATTAATGCAAGTTTAACTTTGAAAAAAAAAAAACATATCTCGAGACTTTATGGTGGGGTTTTTTCCCCATCCCACTGCATCTCATGTTTTTAAATGAAAAATATACTCTGTGTGATTGGCTTTCTGCCCTTTGTATTAAACTATGCGTACATACATGATGCTGTTCTGTTTAAGCAACTTAATTATAATTGGTTTATAAACATTATTTTAAACATTATGCACTTTTTTCGAACATCAATGCGGAGAAGATCTTGTTTACGTCAAAACTGAAACCAAGACGTTCACACAGAACACATATTTTGCGCCTTTTCTAGAGGGACATCTATCACTGTTACACTCGCATCTCGCACAAAAGAGCCACATGTTTAGAAAGCCATGTAAAATTAATGCAAGTTTAACTTTGAAAAAAAAAAAACATATCTCGAGACTTTATGGTGGGGTTTTTTCCCCATCCCACTGCATCTCATGTTTTTAAATGAAAAATATACTCTGTGTGATTGGCTTTCTGCCCTTTGTATTAAACTATGCGTACATACATGATGCTGTTCTGTTTAAGCAACTTAATTATAATTGGTTTATAAACATTATTTTAAACATTATGCACTTTTTTCACAGATAGTCATGTTATCTTATGCTGTGAATAAACATGCATTAGTAATATTTTGCTTGATGCGCTCTTGTGGCCTCAGGAGAGAAGCCAAAAGCTTTTCTTCACCCTAACTGAAATTATGCATTTTAAATTCGAATATATTTCGATATAAGTACAAGATTCGAATTTAGTTTTTCAGACATTGACAGCCCTAGTGGGATCTATATACAATCAATAAACTCCTTGAAATTAGTCCCAATGTTGGAAAAATAATTTTCTATCAATTTTCTAACCGATGGGAGAATTGGTCATTCCAGGATGTCACACACGTTTTTAATACTAGGGGAAGATCCTCCAACATGTTCTCTCTGCCGAATCCCTTTATCCTTGAAGCATGTTTTATTAGATTGTGCTGGTTTTAACTCATTGAGAGAACTTTTTTTTATTCAGTTAACTCTTTTGAAGAGATTTTTAAGAGTTAAACCAAATACAGTTTTGGAGTTTTTAGCAAAAATCCATTCTAAAAACATGATACAATTCAGCCATAATATTTCTCTCCATGAAAATAGCCACAGAAGCTGGAATGGCGTTAAACACAAATAAACAAACTCAGTGAGTTTGCTTCTGTTTCTTAATGACAAGCTTAAACTATATCAAGTATTTATGTAACGCATCTCATTTGTGTATGAATGGCTGTTAGATTGAATAAAGTTGATTAAAATCAAAGCACGTTACTGTAAGAATACTCTTGATTTCCCTCATATGCAGTGCTGTAATGGCAGCCTTGCATGCAATTCTTGCAGCACCCACAAGATACCGCCATTTGGTGGATTGCGATTACAAGACTGATGTCCAATTTTAGACAAATGCTTAAATATTAAATGCATAAATTGCAACAGAACATTTACTGTAAATGGTTTACAAATGTTTTTGTCTGCCAGCAAGGAAAGGAGCTAACCTAATTAATCAATCAGAGAGATGTGAAGCAAGTCGTTCTGATCCTGGTGATGCAGTGAGATTTGATGAGATGCACAGCAGAAGGTTTAAAGGTGGGTCTTCATGTGCTCTTGCAGAAGCTGCAGGAACAGGACGAGCGTGCAGAGCTGCTGAAGGATCGTCTGCGCTGGGAGCAGAGAGAACTGCGCACGCGGCTGGAGAAACTGCAGGGCGGTTCAGAGAGGATGCGTAACGACAGCCTTGGCTCAGCTGTGTCCTCCGAGAGATCCGACTCTGAGAGAGGTGATCATCAGACGGCCGAGATGTTAATATTCCTAAATTAGAGTTTCTGTTAGATTAATATGAGCTTTTAGAGTTCAAATATTTCTATTCTATCTAGTTCTGATCAGTAACTGGTTTAACTTGGTTAAAACTATTTAATTTAAAAACACATATATGTGTTATATGGTTTTTCGAAATTGAGATTTATACATCATCCGAAAGCTGAATAAATAAGCTTTGGAGGATTGTTAGGATAGGACAATATTTGGCCGACAACTATTTGAAAATCGGGAATCCGAGGGTGCAAAAAAAATCTAAATATTGAGAAAATCGCCTTTAAAGTTGTCCAAATCAAGTTCTTAGCAATGCCTATTACTAATCAAAAATTGAGTTTTAATATATTTACGGTAGGAAATTTACAAAGTATCTTCATGGAACATGATCTTTACTTAATATCCTAATGATTTTTGGCATAAAAGAAAAATTATTTTGACCCATACAATGTATTTTTGGCTATTGCTACAAATATACCCCAGCGACTTAAGACTGCTTTTGTGCTGCAGGGTCACATATGCAAACACTTTTTAAATGAAAGCTTTACTGAAGGTTTAATAAACCGTTTCTTTTCTTTCTTTTTTTTTAAGATTATTCTGACTATTATATATGGGTGGTACAGTAGTCACATGAGTTGTTGATCATATTTGCTTGAAAATTGCAGAGGACATTGAGATTGATGTGGAGAGCATGGTGTGGACTCTGGAGTCAGATGGTCTGGGCTCATCGCATGCTGGGGTGGACCACAGCTACTCTACCTCTGTTCACACCTGGTTATGACCGTCACAGATCTACAGACATTACAGAACGGTATGAAGTGGATGGGGGACTCTGCAAACGTTTGATGGGCTTTACCATCATCACAGAACAGCCTTATGTTGCTGCCACTCTGAAACCATCAGCCACAAACAACAACTAAGCATGACTGGAATTTATTTTGTGTAGTGTATTCTCTACACTAATGGCATTATGGTGCTCTAGTACAGGGGTTTTTAACCTGTGGGGCGCGCCCAAAGACGTTCCCTTGAGAATTAATGAATATGAGTTAACAAATCTTTAGCCATCCACTAGGGGGCAATCTGACTCCCACTGCTAGTCGACAGTTAGAGCAGAGTTGGCTCGAGTGTCAGTTACGCTCAGTGTTGCTAAGTCTGCGGTTTTCCCGCGGAATTTGGCTACTTTAACACTTGCCGCGTTTTGTAGTTTTGGGCTAGTTTTGCGTAGCAGTTAGGCGGGTTTTGTTGTGAAAACCTGGCAACCCTGATCACGTTTATTGACAGTGTAAGATTATTTACGGTTAGCCGTGTCGGAAATCCAAACACGGATTAGCATGTTGTTATCTCAGAAACAGGCTCAGCCATCACATTGAATCCAGTAAACTGGTTATATATTTATGTTTCAGTATAATTACGCACGCTATACCAGGGGCGGTTCTAAACCCTTTTTAGGTGGGTTTCAGCCCCCCCCCCCATCTGTCACCTTAGCCCCCCAAAACTATCTTAACGATCAGGCCAAGTGCTGCTTCCTCGAGAAAGTTTTTCATTCTCACGGGTTTTAAGTCTTGTCAGTTTAAACATTAAAGTAATTTTAAGCCATTTAAGCCCAAGACATCTCAATGCGGTACTCACGCACTGTGATAGAGCGTTTCTATGAGCACCGCGCACACACCTGAAGTGCACAAACAGATGGCCTTCTCAGACAGCAGGTGAATACCACTGGCTGTCTTGACAAGTATCCTTGTAAGCACAGTCGGTTGTTTTAAGTGAATGTAAACGGTAAAGAAAATATCAAATGTACATCAGTATAACAGATCCATGCATTTCTTATGTAAATAAGAAATAAAAATTGCGCAAGTGAAATTAGACAAACTTGGGGGGGCGCATGTCCTAAAAGGTTGAAAACCCCTGGTCTAGTATGCTATACACTCGTGAGATTCAAGTGTAACAATTTTGGTGATGCTTTATTTCCACAGAATGATTGTTTTTTTTCTGGATTAGATATGGTCACATTGCACCCATTAGTTGTCTTCTATCCGGCTAATGAGCTTAACTTTAGGGTCAGCCTGCAGTACACATGGCTTGCACTTAAATGTTTAATATCCATCTTATTTAATTCTTTTTTTGAAAGTTGAGTTTTGATACATTGCACAAAGCATACGCATGAGCACTTGTGATGTCTCTTTAGGTGTGATATTTCTTTCAAGTTTGCTAATGTGTGAAATTGCAGATTGTCAATGCTTTTTTTCCCCTTTTAATATTGCAATTTTTTTTCTAATTGAAAAACTGGGGAAGCTAATTCAAAGGTTGTGGTGCTGCAATTCATAGGAAAATAATGCTTTCCTTTACAGCCATGCACTTGTTATTTGCTATTGGGTAAAGGTACAGTTGGGTTTGAAGTGATTGTTATTGAACTACTATCAGCATCATCGTGACGTTTCATTTTTATGTACTTTTTACTGTGCTTTGGTTCACTTCAGAGAATCAAAGTTGGTGCTATTAAAACACCCAACAACAAGCTCTTATGTTGAGCCCTAAGCAAGAAGCCTGAAAAACAGAACATGGTACATTTTTATTTGTACAGTGGATTTGCAGCAGTTTAATCTCTTTTCCCCTAAGATGTGTTAGTCTGCTCATGTGAAAATGTTTTACTTTTCTTTCTTTTTTTTAAACTGCAATTCAGTATGTTGGTAGTATTGACAAAATACATGGGCTGTATTTGCAAACTGTTCAGTATCTGCTCATATCAGTCATTTATGCAAACTATTATGAACATGCCTTTGTTTTTAGATGTTTGTACAGTAACTGTTAATGTACACAGCAAAATGTACATTGTATATATAGTTCTGAACACCAAATGCCTTAAGAACTATTCGTATGTCATTGGACCAGGAGCACCTTTGTATTTGTCTCTCCTTGTATTCATATGTAGCATTTTATTCTTTTACCAACATAAGCCTTTTGTACAAATAAATATTTTACGTATTTAATCTGACTTACATTTACATTTACATTTACATTTAGTCATTTAGCAGACGCTTTTATCCAAAGCGACTTACAATTGGGGGATACATAAAGCGATTCTTCTTAAGAGAGGCAAACAGACACAAGAAGTGGTTGTAATACCAAGTTCTTAGACATTGTTCAAATAAGTACAAGCTAGAAAGAGAAGGAAAAAATAATTTTTTTTTTTTTATGATGAAGTCAAGTAGCTTCGAAAGAGATGAGTTTTCAGCTGTCGCTTGAAAATTGTCAGGGATTCAGCATTCCGGATAGGGGTGGGAAGATCGTTCCACCAGCCAGGAGTGGTGAATGAGAATGTTCTGGAATGTTCTGGACTTGTCACTATGATTTTGCATACGTTCTTTATTTGCAACTGGGGAGCTTGATTGTAATATATTAGTCTAGACATCTTGACATGACATAGGCTAGTATTCAGTCATATCAGACCTAGTGAGAACATGTTGGCCTATTTAAAAGCCACGCTTAGTTTCATTTCTCTAGAAAATATTAGTATGAGATTTACTTGATCTGCTTAAAATGGTGTTATCTCTCCTATTCAATAGTGACCACAGTGCAAATGAAATGGAAAAAAAAAAGAAGAGCAAAAACGAGACCAGTATGTCAGATAGAAAATATTTATTGGTAATACCTGCTGGTCACGAACAATTAAGAGCTATAAATCATTACCGTTTCATTAAACAAATGCATTTCTTCTTTCAGACACTCAACACTGGACATTTTTTGACAACTTTCACACTTGTAATCAGACATTGCCTCACGCCGGCAGTGACTGCTGGAACCGTGGACCCATCAATGCAGACAGAACTTCAATTTGAAGCGGCGAATCACATTGATAAACAAGGCAGATTACAGACCTCAGTAAGTCTGAATATATTTAGATTCAGAGGCCATGTTTGAAATACAACAACAAAATCAGAGAAATTAATTTAGCAATCGAAAAAATTGCAAACACCATGTAAAATCAGGAGCCGGTGGAGGATTCTGCTGTATCAAATCAAGTTTACTGGAGAATTTCAGTCGAAGAGCACATGGGCTTCACTAAATGCATTCTGAGAATCCAGACAGGCACGATTTGATCATCTCAGCTCCTGGCTAAATGCATCTCACATCCACGTCTGTGTCCTGTGATGGCATGACACGGCCCTTTTCAGAAGTGCTGGGAGAGTCCGGACACTGGACTCATCATACATACTGCTTCTTCTGAGCCTGAGAGGCTAAATCTTTCGCCTTCTCCTTGGCGGCGAGTGCGGTCTCGCGTGCCTTCACAGTTGCGGTTTCTGCCAGAGTACGTGTGGGCATTTCACCTGTGCAGAAATGAGCTTAGCCGACCATGTTTACAACTAAATGAATTAAACCATTAAGCTGCTACTGCATGCTTGAACTCTAGCTGGCATCTTACCTTGCATCTTGGCCAGGACGTACTCAAAGCCTTTCATGGTCTTTGTAACGCTGCTCTTAAACCGGGCAAGACCAAATTCCTGAAAATGGGATAGAAAGATGTAAAGCGCTTTGAGAAAAACACTCCTTGCTGCCAAGTGTTGTGGAAGTTCCAGTGAGGTAATTTAACTGCAGACTAAACAGCTGTTAGCTATAAACACCCCGCATGATCTTGATCGGCTGCAGAACGTTATTCAAATGTATTTAAACAGATCACACACACTACTGTAATAAAACTTTCTTTGAGATCAACATAACCAAGTGTTGTTTAGAGGTCCTGTCACCCGCTGACCTGAATCGCTCTAGAGAGGCCGTACAGTTTGGAGGAAATCCAGGCCTCTCTCTTGATCTCGGTCCAACTGTTGTTGTCAGGGTTCACTCTGTACACACAACGCTCTTCAATACTCTACACACAGAAAACACATAGTTAACCTCTCATAGTTCATGTCTAGTCAGGCCAGTTGATAATTAATCATAGCCAGTCCAGGAAATCACACAAAATAACTATTATAGAAGTAACTGTATTTGAAACAAAAAAGCATGTTGAATTGCACTAAAAATGCAAGCACTGTTAATGCAATGCATTATTTATTTCTTAATTAGTGCAATTCAACATCATGCTATTTTGCTTCTAATACGCGTGTCATTATTTTGCTTCCATGCCATATTCACATATTCAAGTGCCAGCAGGTGAAATATTATTCATCTTTCGTCTGCAATTTTCCGCATGCTGTGCTTAAGTTAAGAAAAAGAGGTGTTTTTAAATGAATCCCATTTAAAGCCCCACTTTGGCCACTGTCACTTTTTTTGATGCTGATTTTGAGCACGTCACCAAATAGCCCCCAAAAAACTCTTAATTTTTTTCATTATCCATTACATGTTTTAATCCACTACGTTTGGAAGACAAAGTGCTTACTGTCATAAAAATACTGTCAGAATACACAACACATTAATGGTCCTAAAAATAGGTTTAATTTGTTTTTGACACAAATATAAATCCTTATTCTCTATAATTTTTGGGGTGCAATATCACTTGGACATGTTCTTGTCAGCTCTGTGAGACAGGAGGAGGGATGGCGGCCCACCATCACACGAGCGTGGCTGATGTTCCAGGTGAGAGTGGTCATGGTCCTGCCCCGAGGATCCACTACAGAGTCCTCAATGATGTAAGCCTTCCGTGCCATGTGAGCAGGCAGAAACTTCTCCGCCCAGCGAGGAGCTCTGCTTGTTTTGGTCAGGAGACGTCTGGAGATCAGACAGTTGTCCGGAGTGACTTCCCGAAATATGATGTCTTCAGTTAAAACATGATTACTGAGGAACACAAATAAAGAAATTATATCAAATCCAATAGACAGTGGTTATAAGTGGTATAAGAATATAATACATAAGAAATCTTGTAAAAAAAAAGATATACATGTACTGCGGGAGCTGTAGGAGGGTATCTTAAAAAAAGACAAATATTAGGGCTGGGCAAAAAAAATATTGATTTTCCGATTAATCGTTTTTTTAAATGATGTCGATTCGATATCGATTCTCAAAAAACGCGAACCTATCTTTTCCAGTATTTATTTCAGCACACATTTAAAACAACGTGAATCTTAGCATTAGTCTTCTCCACTAGATGTCCCCCTTATTTATCTTG